TGCCCAGCCCTGGACGCATCCTGGCCAGAGCCAGCTGTTTGCAGACCTGAGCCCAGAGGAGCTGACGGCTGTGATGAACTTTCTGACCCAGCAGCTGGGGCCAGGGCTGGTGGATGCAGCCCAGGCTCAGCCCTCGGACAACTGTGTCTTCTCAGTGGAGCTGCAGCTGCCCACCAAGGCGGCAGCATTGGCCCATCTGGACAGAGGAGGTCCGCCACCTGCTCGGGAGGCGCTGGCCATTGTCTTCTTTGGTGGACAACCCCAGCCCAATGTGAGTGAGCTGGTGGTGGGGCCTCTGCCTCACCCCTCCTACATACGGGATGTGACTGTGGAGCGCCATGGCGGCCCAGTGCCATATTATCGGCGCCCTGTGCTGGCCAGAGAATACCTGGACATAGACCAGATGATCTTTGATAGAGAACTACCCCAGGCTGCTGGGCTCCTCCACCACTGTTGCTTCTACAAACACCAGGGACGAAACCTGGTGACAATGAACACAGCTCCCCGTGGTCTGAAATCAGGGGACCGAGCCACCTGGTTTGGCCTCTACTACAACCTTTCAGGGACTGGGTTTTACCTGCACCCTGTGGGGTTGGAGCTGCTGGTAGACCACAAGGCCCTGGATCCTGCTCACTGGACCATCCAGAAGGTATTCTATCAAGGGCGCTATTATGAGAGTCTGGCCCAGTTGGAGGACCAGTTTGAGGCTGGCTTGGTGAATGTGGTGCTGATCCCAAACAATGGCACAGGTGGGTCCTGGTCCCTGAAGTCCCCGGTGCCCCAGGGCCGGCTCCCCCTCTGCAGTTCCATCCTCAGGGCCCCCGCTTCAGCATCCAAGGGAGTCAAGTGACCTCCTCATTGTGGACTTTCTCCTTTGGCCTTGGAGCTTTCAGTGGCCTGAGGATCTTTGACATTCGATTCCAAGGAGAGAGGGTGGCCTATGAAGTCAGTGTCCAGGAGGCCTTGGCCGTGTATGGTGGAAATTCTCCTGCTTCTCTACGAAGTCGGTACACAGATGGTGGCTTTGGGTTAGGCCACTTCTCCTCCCCCTTAACCCGTGGGGTGGACTGTCCCTACCTGGCCACCTTTGTGGACTGGCACTTTCTTTTGGAGTCCCAGGTGCCCAAGACACTACGTGATGCCTTTTGTGTGTTTGAACAGAACCAGGGTCTCCCTCTGCGGCGACACCACTCAGATGTCCACTCCCGCTATTTTGGGGGTCTTGTGGAGACTGTGCTGGTCATCAGATCTGTGTCCACCATGCTGAACTATGACTATGTGTGGGATATGGTCTTCTACCACAATGGGGCCATAGAAGTCAAAGTTCATGCCACAGGCTACATCAGCTCAGCATTCCTCTTTGGTGCTGCCCAAAGGTATGGGAATCGAGTTGGGGAACACACACTGGGCACAGTCCATACTCATAGTGCCCACTTCAAGGTGGATCTGGATGTGGCAGGTAAGACATCCTGATGGGGGTAAGTGTGCCAGAGGGGTGAGCTGAAGGTTCACTTTAAATTTTTCTTTGAAGCACTAGAAATGTAAAAGGATCTGAGGTAAATGAGAAAGTCATCTTCCTCAGAGGATTTCACTCTTATCAGCAGGTTAGATACTCTTCCATATTTAAAATTATATATATTTTTTTACTGAGAGTGTAGCTCACGTGGTTAGAATACCAGCCTGGCAAGCACAAGGACCTGAGTTCAAACTCCAATACTGAGCAAAATGTTTTTTCCATTAAAAAAATTGCCTGTGTAATTATAGAATTTATCATATGTCCTATATTCAAATGTAGTATATGGATGGACATATTTTGTCTATATTCTATACCCAAATGACATTATAATGTACATATATTTTGCTTTTTTTTCACATAACAACATAATCAAATCAAGCACACATATCTAGCAAAGGTTTATATGAAGCATGACCTTCTGCAATTTAAAAAAAGAGCACAGCAAGCAGGGTGCCGTTGGCTCTCACCTGCAATCCTAGCTACTCAAGAGGCAGAGATATGGAGAATCGGGGTTCGAAGCCAGCCCAGGCAAATAGTTCGCAAGACCCTATCTCGAAAAAACCCATCACAAAAAAGGGCTGGTGGAGTGGCTGAAGGTGTAGGCCCTGAGCTCAAGCCCCACTACTGCAAAACAAACAAACAAACAAAAAACCAGCTTGGCTCCGGAGGCTTATAATATTATACTCCTATTAAGTAATCTACAGAGTTTATTAGAATCTTATTAGTTCTACTAGTATACTTTTCTTGTCCCAGAATTTCATCCAGGAATCCACATTGCATTTAGATGTTGTATTTCCTTAGACTTTTCTTGTCTTTCATGACCTGGCCACTTTGGAAGATTACTGGTCAATTATTTTGTAGAATGTCTCTCGATTTGGGTTTTGCTGATATTTTGTCATGATTAGATTGAGACTGTGCATTTTTATGGGCGGGAGGCAAAATCCCACAGAAATGGCCAAGCATGGTAGTTAATACCTGTGACCTCAGCGCTCTGGAGGCAGGAGGATAGAGAGTTCAAGGCCAGTCTGGCTACACAGCAAGCCAAGCTATGGCAATGTAGCTCATGGTCGAGTATTTACTTCAATTCCCAGTACCACAAACAAAATCACAGAAATGATGTATGTCTTTCTCAGCGTATCATATTAAGGGGTACATGATGCCATATGTCTTATGATTAGTGATGGCCTCATGCACTTGATTAAACTTTGTCTTTCAACTTTCTCCATCAAGTTAACATTTTACATTTATAATTAATAAATATTCTGGGAAAAATACTCTGATACTATGCAAACATCCCACTTATTTTTTTTCCGCAAATTTTTGTCCACTAATTTTAGCATCCTCTGGTAGATTTGGTCTTCAATATTTATTACTGTGGTGCTTCCCTCTAGTCATTTAAACTTTTTTCATTTTAAATTGATGGATACATATATATATATACATATATATATGTATTTGTACAACATCTTTTGAAATATAAATACATTGTGGACTGCATAAATGGAATTAATTAACATATGTATTATGAGGCAATCAGGAAGCTGTGGCAGGCAGATTTCGAGTTCAAGTCCAACCTGGGCTACATGGGGAGACCCTGTCTTAAAAAAAAAAATCTAGGGCTGGGAGTGTGCTCCATTAGAGCACAACTAGCATTCAGTGAGCCCTGTGTTTGTTCAATCCCCAGAACCATTTAAAAAAGAAAAAAATTACAAATTTTCTAAGGGTTATAACCTAGTACTCTCATTTATTTTGTTCCTTACATTGTTCTAACTTGAGCCATTGAGAGGTCCCTACAGATTGGTTCCTATGGTTTTTTGGTTTTGTTTCGTTTATTTTTTGGGCTTTTTGAGACAGGGTCTCACTATGTAGCCTGTCTGGTTTCAAACTTACTATGTATGTAATGCAGGCTGGCCTTGACCTCCTGAGTACTGGGACTGCAGGCATATGCTCCTAGGTCCTTTTGACATGTCTCCATGCCTTTCTGAGCACTTCCTTACTTTACAGCACCGCGTTATCCCAGTGTCATATGAGATTTCCCCGATCCAGCACTGTGGTTAATAACTTCTCCCTTTTATTGGAAAATGGGTGTGCTCGTTATCATTGGGATGTCATTGCTTATAGACCCCAAGAGTAGACTTGGAAAATTCAAGTATCTGCTATAGCCAGTGCATGTACACACACATCTATCTTCACCTTTGTACTAAATGATGCTACTTTTTAAACACTTGGGGTAGCACCACACACATGTAAGCCCTTTAGAACTACTAGCTCCTGTTGTTAGGCACATGAGCATGCTTATATGGAAGGACCAGAAAGAGCTCTTAGTCTTCCAGTGAAAACCGTGGAGTGTGGTTTAGGGATGGTGAATCCATGAAAGGAAACTGAGTCAGTTTCTGCTCTCTCATGGGCCCTAGAAAGTGTTGAGAGAGATGCCAGCATGTTTTGATTTATTACTCTTGGATCTTAGATCATGTAAAATGACTCCTAATACAGGAGATAATCCTTCAGAACTCCAGATGTTCAAGGAACAAAGCGTGATTTGGGCCCCACTTCCAGCTTCCTGTTACATTACAAACTACAGGAGACACCACCAAGCTCCAGCAATGCGGGCCCCGGGGCATGGCTTTCCTTCCCTTTGGTCCCCATGTCTGCAGTCCATATATTTTGGGATCATTCTGTCTGGGCTTCTTCTGTGTGCCAATGTGTGGGTCCTGTAAAATAAGACTGAGACTCCAGTCCCCAGCACTGCCCCAATGCTGTGTGCCTTTGTTGACCAACCATAGCACATTTTTCAAATTCTCTGAGCCTCAGTTGTCCCATCTGTAAAATGGGGAAAATTATAGTTCTTCCTTCATAAGACTGTCATAAGAATAAAAACAGAAATATAAATAAAGCACAGCACACTGCATGCACACAGCTCCTCAGGTTCAGTAAGGGTGAGCTTTAGTTTCATGTTAAACCAGTTCAAGCTATAAGGCTTGAGTTGTGAGAGGCAGACCTGCTTGTCAGGTCAGAAAGAATTTCTCCCTGAGCCTTTCCTACTAGGCTGCTCTATCCTCAGGTAAGCTCCTCTCCTTGCAACCTCCTTACAGGAAAAGGCAAGGGGAATAATTCCTAGATAAGACATAAGGGAGAAAGACCTTCTCCAAACCTCTACACTTGGGATATCCTGGAGAGAAGAGAGGAAAGGAGGGAGTGCACTCAATCTGAAGCCAAGTGGGGGCCAGGGCCAGAGGGCACCATGGTGACTACGTGACCAGCCCTCTCCCTTGCCCACTCAACACAGGACTGGAGAATTGGGTCTGGGAAGAGGACATGGCCTTTGTCCCCACGGCTGTGCCCTGGAATCCTGAGCACCAGATACAAAGGCTACAGGTGACCCGGAAGGTGCTGGAAACAGAGGAGCAGGCTGCCTTCCCCCTGGGAGGTGCCATCCCCCGTTACCTCTACCTGGCCAGCAACCACAGAAACAAATGGGGTCACCCACGGGGTTACCGAATCCAGATGCTCAGCTTTGCTGGGGAGCCAGTGCCCCAAGACAGCTCCATGGAGAGAGCCTTCAGCTGGGGGAGGTGAGTGGTGGGCTGTCAGAGAAGGCTGGGGAGGTGGACTGAACAAAGGTCCCTACACTTCTCTGTCTCCTGTGGATGTACGTGCACCCACACATCCTCTCCTGTGAATCTTTCATTGTTCAAAATGAGGCCTGCTGGGTGGGTGGATGGATGAATGGCAAGAAGCGCAGAGAGTAAAATGTTAATGGCAGAACCTAGGTTGTGGGTACATGGGTGATTACAATTCTTCCAGCTTTTCCATATGTTTAAAAGCTTCACAATAAAATTTGGAGTTAAGAGTTAAGATTGGAAGGAGTATTCTCTAAAATCCAAGCATTCGAGATACTGAACTAGATCCTGGACGAGAATCAGGTTGTGTCCATGCGTATGGATTCAAGGCCCTGGTTCAATATCAGGCTCTCAACTGGGAAGATGGGAGAGTGACATTCCTACCTGAAGTTTGAATTATGGGCCAGCTGATGTTTGAGGTACAAGATATTACATTAAACAGATGCAGGAACTCCATGGGAACTGAGCAGAAAATGATTGAAACTCACTATTGTGGTCTTTACTCAAAGGTCTTGACAGTACTGAGTTTCAGTCATTTTCCCCCTTTTGTCCCTATTTAGTATAGCTTCAGACAGTAGGACAGCTTGATGACTTTTAAGGTCTAATTAAAATTGCCTATGATGGCACACACCTGATATCCAGTACTCAGGAAGCTGAGGTAGGATGATTGTGAGTTTGAGGACTGACTATGTTACACACAAGACCCTGTCTAAAAAAACAACATTGTGTGTAGGTACCAGCTGGCTGTGACCCAGTGGAAGGAGGAGGAACCCAGTAGCACCAGCATCTACAATTTGAATGACCCTTGGACACCAACTGTGGACTTTACCAACTTCATCAACAATGAAAGTATTGCAGGACAGGTCAGCTGAATGAGAGGCAAGGGAAGATGGGGATGGGAGGGAGGAGGCACGGGGACCAAGAAAGCCATCTTGTTCTCTCCCCAGCCATATTCTTCAGGAGTCTTTAGAACTTGCTAAGATTAAAAAAAACTTTATTATTTCACATTTTTCATGAGATATAAAAGAGTATGAGCTGGTGAGCTGAAGTGTTCCCTGCAAGGCCATTGTGGGAGGCAGGGCATGTCTCTAGCAAAGCCTGACCCCATAATCCTCTTTCTTCTCTCCTGCTAGGACTTGGTGGCCTGGGTGACAGCTGGTTTTCTGCACATCCCACACTCAGAGGATATTCCCAACACAGTAACTGCTGGGAATGGGGTGGGCTTCTTCCTCCGACCCTACAACTTCTTTGATGAGGACCCCTCCTTCTATTCTGCTGATTCTGTCTACTTCCGGGAGGACCAGGATGCTAGAGCCTGTGAGGTCAACCCCCTGGCTTGCCTGCCCCAGACTGCTACCTGTGCCCCCAACATCCCTGCCTTCTCCCATGGGGGCTTCTCTCACAACTAGGTGGTCCCTGGCATGGGCAATCTGGTCAGGTATCTCAGGGCCAGGGGAGGATGGGTGGGGTAGCAGCTGGGCACTGGGCTGGACAACCTGGTTCCCACTTCTCCCTCCTCACACCTATCATGTCCAAGATCATCTCTCTTCTGCTGTCCTCCCTTGCCTCCCTCTCCCTGTCAGGAGCACCCTGAGCCTTTAATGCCTGACATAGGGACACATGGCTTTGTTAATCCCAGTGGGCCTGAGTTCCTGCGGGGGTGGGGGGGGGAGTAATGGCCCAGCCAGGAATCTGGAATGACAGCCATGCTTTTCTCCAGATGATTTACTTTTGTTTTTTGCTTTCTGGCCATCTCTGAGGACTGCAATTCCCTAGAGACCTCAGGACACATTCCTGCTAAGTTCCTGCCCCAGGGTGGAAAGGAAAGGCCCAGTCAGGAGCCTGGAGTGATAACCAAGCCTGGCCCCAAATGACTCCTGTGTTTTCTAAGTTTTTTCCCCTTATTTTTATACATGAGAAATAATTCACATGCCATAAAATTTACCATCTTAAAATGTATAATTTTGTTTTTTCATATAGTCATAAAGTCGTGCCTGTCTAATTCCATAACATTTTCATCACCCTAGAAAGAACCCCCATCCTTGTTAGCAGTCCCTCCCCATTCCTCCCCAACCCCTCACCAGCTCTAGATAACCTCTAATTTACTTTACTACTGCGGATTTGCTGTATTCTGACATTTCATTGAAATAGATTCATACCATAAGGTGGTCTTTTGTGACTGACTTCTTTCACTTAACATGCTTTTTAGGTAGTATCCATCAGTATTTCATTCCTTTACAACTAAGTAATATTCCACTGCATGGTGCTGGAGTTTAGATCTTGAACGTCCTCCATGTGTTAAAGGCTTGGTCCCAAGATGGCACTATTGGAAGAAGTGGGACCCGTGAGAGGTGGAGCCTTGTGGGAGGTCCTTAGGTCATTAGAGCATGCCATTGAATTGTGGGACCTCAGTCCCTTCCTCTCTCTCTCTTTTGCTCCCTGGCTTGTCATGTGAGTGGTTCTGCTCTGCTTTGTACTCCTGTCATGATGTGCTAAGTCATCTCAGGCCCAAAGCAACAGGGACCGCCAAACCCGTGAGCCAAAGTAAACCTTTCCATTCTATAAGCTATTTTGGCATAGTAATAGCAAGTTAAGTAACATATACGGATATCCCACACTATGTTTTGTCCATTCATCAGTTAATGGGCTTTTGAGTTGTTTCTCTTTTTGGTTATTTTGGATAATGCTGTGAACATTCATGTTTTTGTATCGATGTGTATTTTCCCCTCTCTGTATGTACCTCTCTTGGGTATTCAGCTAGTATTGGAATTGGGATGGTAGAGTGCCTGCCTAGTAAGCTCAAGGTCCTGAGTTCAAACCCAAGTCCCACCAAGAAGAAGGAGGAGGAGAAAGAGCCCGTCCTCTGCCCCGGGTTTTGAATATGAAGTTGGGGCCTCTGGAGATCAACTGTTCTGCCAAGCTCCAGGGCAGGTCCTGTGTCTCAGTGTCTGATCTCGGTAAACTGCTTCTCTATGTTCATTCCCTATCATCCTGACACAGTCCTCCTTCTCCCTTTCGCCTTCTTCTCCCATATCATATCTTCTGCTGTGTCCTCCAAAGTCCTGGGGGAATGTCCCTGCTAATTCAGGTAATGGCTCAGTTCTGGTGTCCTCCTCTGCCCTGGGCTAGGGAAGCCTTGGATTCGCAGGTACTGTTTGTCTGACAGGACCATCTCTATCTCTATGGGAGACACACGTCTCTGGATAGCTCACTTTTTCTTGTCTCTCTGCCTCTCACTGAATGAATAAAAATGTTCCTTCTGTCATCTTGTCATCTGTCTACACTGCCAAATAATTCTCTTCCAAGTCCCTTCTATTCACATAGACCGTGGCATACATTTTTATGAAGGGGATGGATGGTCAAGATCACTTTTTCTTGTCTCTCTGCCTCTCACTGAATGAATAAAAATGTTCCTTCTGTCATCTTGTCATCTGTCTACACTGCCAAATAATTCTCTTCCAAGTCCCTTCTATTCACATAGACCGTGGCATACATTTTTATGAAGGGGATGGATGGTCAAGAGACAGCAGCTGCTTAGGGGGTTTTGTGGGTAGAATGATAAAGGGTCATCTGTTCCCAGAGCCCTGGTGGCCGTGGCCTCTGCTATTCTTCAGCAGCCAGCATAGGTGACAAGAATGTCACAGAGGGTAAGAATCAAGATGTTTCAAAAGGCCAGAAAACTGGCCTGAGAACTGGCCAATCAGGGGTGGGCCTGCAAATGGGCCAGTGGGGACCTTCCTCGCCTGCTCAGGACAATAACCTCCAGGGTTGCTGCCCTCCCGGGGTGTGGACTTTGGATGGGCATACATAAGAACTGGGATATTTTCCAGGAAGGGGCTTGGGGAGGAAGTAAGGTGGGGAAGAGACTGGCCTCAAAGACCAAGCTTCTGTATAGTGCGTGGAGTTCATACCTCTGCTTCCCGAGCTTGCTCACTTCTGTCAGTGTCTTTCCTGGGGCCATGAGATCAAGAAGAGAGGGGTGCCTTCCCTAGCAGGAAGCCCACGCTATCCACCCAGCCTTAGGGGGGCATTAACGGGATCTGGCAAGAAGGGAGTTCAGGGCAGAGGTTTGGGTCCAATTCAGCTTGTGACCAGAAGGAAGTTCACAAACCTGGAGCTCAGACCATGTGAAATCCCATGGCTCTCTTGACAACTGCCTGAAACCCCAAATCAACTGAATGAACTAAAAAGGAACTAAGTTCTGGCCAAGAGACCAGCGTAAGAAAACTAAAATCGTGGGAGCCACAGTCTCCATTGACGAATCTTGGTAGGATGTGGGGAAATGAGAAGGGTGAAAGCAAAGCCTGCTTGCTCAAGCTCTTGATTCTTTCCATGCTGCATCTCAGCTAAATGGTTCAGCCTCTCTACTCTCAGTTCAGATAAATATCTTTTGTTTTTCTTGGTGGGACTGGGGTTTGAACTCAGAGCTTTGTGCTTGCAAAGCAGGCTCTCTACCTCCAGTCCATTTTGCTTTGGTTATTTTGGAGATGGGGGTCTCAAGAACTGTTTGCCTGATCTGGCCTTGAACTGTGATCCTCCTGATCTCGGCCTCCTAAGTTGCTAGGATTACAGGAGTAAGCCACCAGTGTCTTACCAGATGAATATCTAATTTTGATCTTATTGTGGTTTCTTGGTTAAAGAAATGTAGGCCACAATGAGTGGAAATGTTCTATCTTGTTCCCAAAACAAATGCAGTATGGGAGCCGCTGCTGCTGCTTCAGAGGCAGGGACAGGGACAATGGACTTGTAGCCTTAGGTCTAGGTCTGGTGGGGTGGGGGAGCCCTTTGAGTGAGTGTGCAACAGGACTCCCCCCAATGTCAGAAGGCAGAGCCTGAGCTTTGAGCCTGAACTCTAAGGAAAGATCCCAAGGGAGCCCTATTGGAAGACTTTGCTGAAAATATGTCCTTCCAGTCTCAAGAAAGAAATGACAGGCCCCTGAGAAACGCCAGAGAGATCCAAAGGGTCAGAATCCCAAAGTTCTAGGGTGAGTCTGGTGGGAGGAATCCTTGGGGATTGTGGGCCCTCTGTGGACTTCACTGGAGGAGCCTCAAACACCCCCCCATCCTCCCCTCCCCCCCAACTCCCCACCTCCCCCAACTCCCCCCCCCACAGATCTATGTGTGCTCTTGGGGTTCTACAGGTTCAGTTCTACCCTGCAGTTCAGCTTAGTCTCTTTGGAGGGCCTGTGTCCTCACTCTGACACTTGGCCTGTGGCTGGCAAATGACCATGTTTGCTCCACTCAGGCTCCATGGGTGGAAGTCTGCAGCTTTTGATGCTTTCCTCCTCCTCACTAGCATCTCACTTGGGATACCCAAGTATCTCTCCTCGTTTTTCATTCATCTAAGTGTTGGTGTTCTTGGACTGGTGGAGTGGCTCAAGTAGTAGAGCGCCTGCCTAGCAATGACAAAGCCCTGAGTTCAAGCCCCAGTCCCACCCAAAAGACTTGTTCTTGTTTCTGTGCACTTGTGTTTTTGCCTAGTTCAGGTATCGTGTTAGGCAGGCACTCTTACTGCTTGAGCCACTCAGCCAGGGTTTTTAATGATGAATTTTTTTGAGACAGGATCTTATTAACTATTTGCCCAGGCTGATTTCAGACCATGATCCTCCTGATCTCCTCCTGCTGAGTAGCTAGGATTATAGGAGTGAGCCACAGGTAGCCGGCCACTTTTGTATTCTTTCTCCATTTAACATTACACAATAAGCATTTTTGTTTTCTGGTGATACTGGGGCTTGAACTCAGGGCCTTCACCTTGAACTACCCCACCAGCCCTATTTTTGTGAAGGGTTTTTTGAGATAGGGTTTCACATACTTTTTGCCTGGGCTGGCTTTGAGCCTCAATCCTCCTGATCTCTGCCTCCTGAGTAGCTAGGATTATAGGCGTGGGCCACCTGCACCCAGGTAACAGTGAGCAATTTTACAGGTTGCTATGTAACATTCAAAATGATGGAAATTTTTTTGTTGTTGTTTGTTTGTTTTCTTTTGATTTTGAAGTTTTAGCAAGGATTTATTTTAGTGCATGAGGCCCTGAATTAAAACTCCAGTACCACCAAAAAAGAAAGAAAAAACACTAACAAAATGAATTTATTTATTTTAGTATAACAGAATAAAGTATAGACAAGTGGGATAGAGGAAAAAAAAGAAACATTTCCTGTTCCCCACATAGGAAATGGGAGCAAAAACTCCCAAAATGATGGGTTTTGAGGGATTAGATACTTTACCAAGTTGGTAGTAAACTAATCTCATGCTCCATTGGGTGACTGGGTTGGTTCCAATTTGCTATCAAGTGGAAAAATGACCCACTGGACCTTGGCTTTGAACAGTGGCTTCTACATGGCAGACTTACAGGTGCAGAGCTAAAAAGAACTTTGGGAGTCATCTGGTCCATAGCCTTGAGTGAACATCTAAC